CGCGAAAAATGAGATGGCATGCATACCTTATTTCCATACAAATGCATGTAAATGTATACGGGTCCAGCCAGACCCGAGGGGTCCGTTCGAAGGTGTAGTTTTTGTATATCCTTATATCATCCTTTTTAAGGACTTTTTGTAATATTTGTTTTGCTAGATCGATAGTCAATGAAATTTCAGGCAGATAACTTAAAACTCAAGTCGCTAGCTAAATCAGAAATATATTAAATTGAAGATCAAAAATGAAAAAGGTCTGGCTGGACCCAGGGGTCCTTCCGCGGGTTGAATCGGAATTATTGTTGTTTTCGGTATTGTTGGTGGATTCTTGCTTTAAACTCGTTTTTTTCCTCGTTCTGTTGCACTTTTTCGTTTCTCTTTCGCTCATTTGTTATTCAGTCGTATTTTGTTCGTGGCCCATTCAATATTGCTGTGCTAAAGGCAAACTTAAGTTGGAATTTTGCCGTCGCATTCGTACCACTCGAAATTCGAATGTATGCATGCGATTATCCAACGTTTGGCTTGGAGAAGTCGCCAAATTCCCAGCATCAAGCACGAAATCTCTCATTATATGTACGTATCGTCGTGACTACACCGAACATTGAATTGCTTTTTCATTACGGTATTTTGTCGGCTCAAAAATATATTCTGCGATTTTCTACGTTGATAATATTCAAATTCGGTGCGTGCTCGGAAAAGCATTCCTTGGTCGGGTTTTTCGCACGGTGGAACACAGTAATGAATGAACTTAATGAGTTTGGATTCGGATATATGATAAAATGTGTTTTATGCATATGTAACGACGCGAATCATATATCAAAAGTCGCATGGAATGTTTAGTGATGAGAATGAGAGATGTGAGAGCAAGACGAAGCGCCCGCGTTTCAGTGTGAGCTGAATTTTTGGGCACCATGTGCCGTTGCCGTGTGGCCGTGCATCACAATTTTCGTTGTGTGGCGCGACGCAAACGCTGTAATCAAACGAGTGATGAAGTATTCATTATATGACTGAGTACATAAAGCCACTCGGTGGATAGTCGTAAAAGTTTAGAAATGACGAGACATATGATCGTGTGTAATGCGATCCCACTTAAATCCGGTGCCAGTGAGATATCATATTTTTCGAGAGTCGAAGAAAAAATTCACTCACAATATCCGGGTAAGAATGTTACATTGGCATTTCAGCCCGGACTCAATTACAACTGGTTTTGCCAGCGATATCATAAGAGTTTTATCTGGTGCTGTCCGGGGGCAAACGACTGTAAATTTATTATTTCTATACCTAGAAAAGCCTTGAAAGCCGTCGAAATGGGTGGAGGACAATCAATCTTGGTAAAACTACGGAAATTCGGTCAGTTGGCCAGTTTGTGAGCTTTCAGTTTTATTTCTCTCATTTCACATCCACATCAGCAAAAATTCTGCTTTCCAAACTAGATTCGAATTACTGATATCAAATATCCTATAAAACGGGTTGAGACTGTGTGTGCTCGAAAATGTTCTAAAACATTTCAACAAATTAAATCACTTGGACTTTTCCTTTCGCAAGAATTCCATCACACATTAATTCTTTTGATGAAAGTTTAGCGTAGCACAGCACACGAAATTACTCGAGACACTGCAATATAAAACGAGCCATATTCCTTGTATGTATGCACCAAGGACACTACTAATGACATTGCCAATAGGTGTTATAACGATCATGCAATAGAGTGATATCTACTCTGTTCACCATTGGATTGCTTGGGATGAAAAAAAGTCGTTGGCCAAACTGTAATTATTTTCGCTTCTGTAGGGCTAAAAATACATCACTTTAACTATGTATGTATTGCGGGCATGGAACAAGAAGAGAGAGACAGAAAGATGGGAATTCTGCAGTATGTGCTATGTGCTCACAGCTTACGTTCGTGTAATCACTAATTGGTTTCATAAATCCATTGTATGGAATTACTTGTTAAATTTTTATTCCGCTTGTCCGAACATGAAATTGAACACTCATAAAACTGCAAACGATATTCGATGTCTGGCACTCTCAGTCACTCACTCACTCACTCGTGCTCTTCATCGCTCACTATCAGAGAGATAGATGGGGTGTATTTTCATTTGGCCGGTGGGATTATAATTTCGAACGCTGCAAATCTTTATTATCGAAAAATAGCCAATACGATGGAAGTAATTAGAGACGGTATGTTGGCAAATATTACATGTATTTCTCTCTCTCTATCGTTCCGTGCCCCGTAGAGCACATGCGGAGCAATTTGTGAAACATTTCCATGGAATTGGCTATTTTTCGATCAAATTGATTTTCGTTCACTTTGAATTATTTGACCAATAACAACAGTAACAATTTCTCGGTCTCTCTGTGTGTTTGGGTGCGTTTGGTTCGGTAATTGTTTCCAAATGTTATTGGCATTTATTGACAAACTAGCACATAAAATTAGCCACGACTAAAATTGTTGTGACGACTGTTGATGTGACGAAAATGCTCGTTACTTGTTAACATTTCAAGAATTGATTCATTTTCAAACACATAAAACGCAATTTTGATTGACACGTGCTGGAAAGGTGGTGTAAAACTACCATTCAACACATAATTCGTTTACACGAGAAACACGAGAAATATTCAAATATATTCGAAATGTTGAAACGTTATTGCAAACTAAAAGAGCGGTTTCGACGTCAGTACGTGTAATGCAAAACGTCAGCATTCTAATCCACAAACCCAATAAACTGAAATTTGCTCATCAAACTTCCTGCTGTACCATATTTACTGCTGTTGTTATTAGTGTGTGCATTTGTGTACGGGTGAAGGATGTGGCTTCTACGACGAAGAGAAACAAAAATGGCTAAAAGTGCGTTTTCACAAAGGGGGCAATTGATATGCTCAGCAACAGCGACTGACAACCGCACCGAAAGAACCTCAGACGAACAATCAGTTGACGAAATGCTTTTACAAAATTGTTTTCGCAGACGTTTCGGTATTTAGTGCATGAAGAAGACATAGCTTTAAAACCGCAGCCATGATTTATTAGCGGTTTGAAATAGGATAATATCTGTGTAATTTCAAGGAATTTAAGTAGCATTTTTTTTCATAACCGTAATCCTTTGCTCAGTTTTTATTCGTAAAAACTGGTTGCTTCATGACGGCGGCGTCGTCGTCGTCGTTGAGATCATCTTTGCGTTGCATGAATTGACTGTTGCCCGCATCTGTATAAATTGAAAATTTATTGAATAAATAAATTGGTAGATCTGCTAGCGGCTACCATTAATACCTTCTCGTGTTTCGTGCTACTTGCTTGCTTTGCTCTTGACTAATTCGCTTCAAGTTTTTGGAATTTAAAATCTAAAGTCAGCCTGTGTTGTTTTCCATCGCACTAAACACGGGCTGTGTTGCCGTGTACACTCGACAAGATAAACTCCGATTCCGACGTACTGACGTGCAATTTCGAATCGGATGTGTTTTCCTTTATTTCCGCTGGAATGTTGATTGCTGCCCAAAATTACATTTAATTGTTTGTTTACTTCTCGTGATCCATTTGTGTTTGTCTATTTTGTTTGTTTGTTGGTTCTATTTCTCATTGCTTACTGCTACTAGAGCTCTTACACCGCACACCGCAATGCTTTTCTGCTCCCCGTTTTAATGATACTCTAAATTTTGTTGTACATTCCTTCTCGTGAAACAGGCACGCGTCTACTTGCTATCGTCTGGATTTTCGTTAGCATTTGGCAGTATGTTTGCGAAAACCTATCGTGTTCATCGAATATTTACACGCAGCGGCAGCAGTGTGTGCAAAGACAGAATGTTGCGAGACGCACAGTTAATTTCATTGGTCTGTGCATTGTTACTGCTTGATGGATTAGTTCTTGGATTTTGGGTTGTATTCGATCCGATGGAACGACACTTGAGCAATTTAACTTTGGAAATAAGTTTAAGCGACCGCAGTGTGGTATATCAACCTCAGGTAAATAAATAAATAAATTACAATTTTATTTGGACTCTCAGTCTCGTTTTGGTTTTTCATTCCCTCTTTTTTCGCATCGCTTTATCTTTTACTCGGCTCTTATTGAGAGCTTTCATCCCCTCGACCAACGCCAAACAGACGGAGAGTTTCATGGTTCACGGAAGTAACGATGCGTTACCTATTTTGAAATGTATTTCATTTCTACCTCGTCGACGACTTGTCGTTCTATTTCTCTCTCTCTCTCTCTCTCTCTCTCTCTCTGTGTTTTTTTTAACACGTGCTTATCAGTTGATTTTTATCCGGTGTATTTTGTGCTGAATAACCAAAGGCATTTTAATCTACTTTCAAGAGATTAAACGTGTTGAAGTGAGGCGAGTGTTGTTGCTGAATTAAAAGTACTTGAGGCCGAGAATCGAGTAGTAGTAAATGGGTTTTGCACGGCAAATCGCAAACACAACACAATTTTCTCGACAGTTGTTTACACGTTTCGTTACACTTTAATTAAATTAAATTTTCCTTTTGGTCGAGATTGTGCGAGCCAGCGCATGAGTTGGTTTTTCTCTCTCACCCAACCGTACCTCTTACCATGTTTACCTTTGCTTTTGGGTAGGCTCAAGAAAATCGGAACATGTTTTATTATCAATTACGAATTGTAATTTCAGCAGAAAAAAAGCACTTGGGCAACTGAAATGGATTGTGTAGTTTCTATAAATATTTTTACATTTTGAGGGATGATTCATTCGAAATGAATCAATAACATTCAAATTGCATTTATTTAAATACATTTATCATTTTGATGGATTGGCATGCCAAAACGCGACTGGAAAATAGAGTGGGAAGAGATGTGGCGAGTGCATGCTATTCAAACGCACGCACAAAATAAAGTGAAGAAATTAAATTTGGAAATGAAAATTGAATTCGAATAATTTTGCAGCGGCAAAAAGAGTGACAAAGTAAACTGAGTATCAGAGCGAGATGCATGCTTTTTATCTTGTCAATTGATCGAAACTGAAATTCATGCAGAAAAAGAGAGCAATAGATAGAGAGTGAGAAAGTGAGCGACATTCAGCTCATAGATATAGAAATGAGGCCAATTATACATTCCATATATTGAAATGTGTGTCGAGTCGTCGGCACACACAGCCAATAGATTCTTGCTTTTAGTTAGGTTCGGTTTTTTGTCATTTTGATTAAATCAATGCATTGACTTTGTGAACAAATGACATGGAATATGATTAGTGGTGTATACATTACGTTGGGGAGTGCGAAGCCAATAATGAACACAGTATAATGTTCCAATTGCTAACAGAAAAACTCACACTTTAATTCTCCGTTTTTGTCATTGTCTTTTTCATCCTCTTTCTCTTTTCGCTTCGTTCACATTCCTCTCTCTCGATTCGCTCCGCTTGGTGCGACCAATTTCACTACATTTGTAAACAGGTTGAAGTGTGTCGTTCGCAGTCGGGCCATACGCAGAGCTGGTTGGGCGCACTGTACATCTACAAAGGTCTGCTGCTGGTTGTTGGCGTTTATATGGCATGGGAAACAAGACACGTCAAAATACCAGCCCTCAACGATTCACAATACATTGGCGTTTCGGTTTATAGCGTTGTAATAACTAGTGCTATCGTTGTGGTTTTAGCGAATTTGATATCAGAACGAGTCACATTAGCATTTGTAACGATAACAGCATTAATATTGACATCAACAACAGCCACACTCTGTCTGCTCTTTCTGCCGAAAATGCACGATATCTGGGCCAAAGGTAATTATTTCTTGTGTATCCCTGCAATAAATGTACGTTTAATTACTTTGGCAAATTAAAATAATGACGTTAACAGCATCGGCAACCAACAAGAGGAAATATTGGCAGAACATGGATTCGTCCGTGTTCCATACCGATTTTATAGATTTACAGGCATTAACATACTAATGTTATAAATTATTAACATATTACTAACGGGGCGTTAATAACTCAAACATAACATATTATTAGATTAATGAGATTCTACGATATTATTAACATATTATCATATTATTAATAAGATAATCTTATTAAAATATTAATAAGATCAGTTATTAAAAAATTAATAACGATATTATTAAAATATTAATAAGAAAATCGGATTTTATTAACCAATTTTTTTCAGTCCAAATGTTGATTTTTTCTTCACAATTTTTTTTCAAAGTTTCATACTAAAAACATATCAAATATCGTCAGATGCATTTTTCTTCAAGATTTCGTCGT